TTTTCATACGCGTTTGGCCAATCAATGTCTACTTACGTCACGATTAGTACCAGTTGTGCTGGTTAGACCCTGCTCCGGAGTAGGAGCTAATTTGGTTCTCGAAAAAGGCAGTCCGGTACTAAAATCGCTCCCAGTTCTGGCGGTGCGAAAACGCCAAAAAGTGGGTAGTTCCACAATTAGTTCTGGTACTATGAAAAGGTTCCTGCGGTGCGAAAGGCCCTATAGGTACCGGTGCCATATTGGTACCGGGTTTCGGTACCCAACCCTACTCGCGAGACACATCGGATCTCGTCACACCCCTACTAATTTATTAATAAATAATTCAAATATCTCCTTACTAGGGCTGGGCAAAAAAAATTGAATGCGATTTTCATGCGAATCTCGTCAGTAAAGCCACTTCTGGTGATTAGTAATAAATCTCCAGCACGTGCTTTCAGATGGAGCGGCATTTACTACACAGACTATCACTGACAAGCTACACAAAATCGCATTCAAAATCGGCAATCGACTGTGATTTTGAACGCGATTTTGTGTAGCTTGCCAGTGAACTACGGCTCGGTGTTGTAAATGCCGCTCCAAACATATCCTTGCACATGACAGCAAAAAACGCACGCAATAGGCTAAAGCGTGCCACAAAGCCCCAGCAAAAGTAGGTAATTACCATGAATGTGTCGGGGGGAATAGTAAGGAGTAGGGCTGTGCAAAAAATTGAATGCGATTTTCATGCGCATCTCGCTTCTGGTGATTAGTAGTAAATCTCCAGCACGTGCTTTCAGATGGAGCGGCATTTACAACACCGAGCCGTAGTTCACTGGCAAGCTACACAAAATCGCGTTCAAAATCACAGTCGATTGCCGATTTTGAATGCGATTTTGTGTAGCTTGTCAGTGATAGTCTGTGTAGTAAATGCCGCTCCATCTGAAAGCACGTGCTGGAGATTTACTACTAATCACCAGAAGCGAGATGCGCATGAAAATCGCATTCAATTTTTTGCACAGCCCTACTCCTTACTATTCCCCCCGACACATTCATGGTAATTACCTACTTTTGCTGGGGCTTTGTGGCACGCTTTAGCCTATTGCGTGCGTTTTTTTGCGGTCATGTGCAAGGATATGTTTGCAGATTCTACACTGCACATGACCAATTGACTCGACTGTTTGCCGTGGTAATCAAATCAAAACTCTTCCAAAATGCAGCTTTTCCCGAAGCATTGGGAACTTTTAGTAACTCCCCACTTCTCCCTGATGCTCTGCATGGTCAACTGTCACCTGTATGCTAATGCGTGCGTATATGCGTTGCGTAGGCGATGTATAATATTTATAATATAATCAATATACAATATTTCATACAGTAGTGTGCTCTGTGCGTATATGGACACAATAAAAGCAGAGAAGCTAAATGAGCCTGATCTGTAAAAAAAAAAAAAATGGCCCGAGCCCGGCCCGAATGGACTCAGCGTGTCGGGCCCCGTCGTGCTTGCAGACCTCTACTCCAATATTTTGAATTTGGACTGCAATACCTAGTTCAACCCCTCAGTGTCAATCCTACATACAGCACCTTTAAGAAATGATCTGTTCATGTTATGGAGGAAAGCAGAGTGCATGTAGGGGGTGTGGCCTCAATAGCCCTGCAGTAAGCAGTGTGCAGGTGATTGAGCAATGTGTAGGGTAGAAATTAAAATTGCATTAAATCTGGTTGTTTTAACCAAGATTATGCTGCAAGATTTTTTTTCTCAACTACATTTAAGTCACCAGTTCCTGCAATTTTGCAAATTTCCCGTTTATTCCCATGGAAAGTTTCCAGTCTTGACAATTCCCGGAATTTTGCAACCCTATTAAATATTACGTTTGATATTACACACCATATCTTAACATCAGATTTTATGCTCCCAAAATAAGGAAACACTACCATATTTGCATTATGTAAATTCACTCATCCTTCCTGATGCAAGCTTATCCTAAACTGTTAATCATTCATCAGTATTTCTGTGCGCAGGACTGCGGAACCCCACATTCACAAACGCATTACGTACACAGCGTAACATTAGCCTTCGTTAAACGTGATAGCTTTTTCTTGAACAAACCTCAAATTTAACTACACGTATTTTATCAGACACAAAAGCAACAAACCCTTCCTGTATGCACAGCTGCCCTAATAGCTAGCACATGGCCCTGTTAGCTTACTTACTAAAAAAACCCCAAACCTTTCCAGTTAGCTATTAGCGCTAATATGCTAGTAACATTACGTAGAGGAGGCCGCGTATAGCCTTTAAATTAATGAAACCCCTCCCAAACTGAATATCTAACGAGTACTTTTCCTTCAGACGGACAACACAGAGATATGAGGCTTTGTTTACTTTGCTGAGATCCTCTTTCTCGTCGGCGAGGATGCCGTAGTTACGGTAGAGCTCCTCCACTGTCGCCGCCATCAGCGTGTCTGACTTCACCGAGGGTTTCAATGAATAACGGCAGTTCTGCTGCTCCGCCTGCGACACTTCCGCTGTATCCGCTCCAAACGCGTCGCGGTATTAAAGCACAGATGTGATGTGGGCTGCAGTGGGATGTTATTTTGGAAGCGAGCGTTGATCTCGCGTGCAGTACGCCAGCTTGGGTTTGTTGCTCTGTGCGGCGGCGGGAGGAACGCTTCTTCGACGCTTTTGGGAGATGATTGACAGCGCCATTGGGAAAGAGCGCCATCTGCTGGATCGGGTCTCTAATGCGCTAATCACTATTGAGGCCCTATTGAAAGGAAATGAAAAGAAAATGTCACTATTAACCATCCTAATGTGGGCTTTTAGTCCCATTGTACGTATTGATGAACTTTACGATGTTATTGATCTACTGAACCAACACAGAACTGAATTGAGCTAAATAATGGCACTACTGTCTAAAAAAAGTGCTAGAAAAAAGGTGACGACTTATTCAGACACCTGAGGGGCTAAATCTTTAAAAAATGTTAACTATTTTTGTCAAATGTGATTAATATATTTAAAACAAACAAAACCTGAAAGGTTCTTAAAATTGGGGTTAAATTTGACCCAAAACTATAGCCTATATATACGAAGAATAAGAATGCCACTAAACTTAATGGAAAATGGGCTGTTTTATTTTATTGATTAATAACAACAACAACAACAACAACAACAACAACAATAGACAAAATGCAATATAAGAATGACAAAATGTAGTCATATTCATTGTAGCATCTGATTTAAGAGATACAGTGGTGTACAAAATCATTAGAACACTAGTATTTTCACCAGCTTAAAAATGGTTTTAAGTCAGTTATTTCTATCTTCTGCTGTAGTGTGTCAGTAGGAAACATCAGTTTACATTTCCAAACATTCATTTTGCCATTAATTGTTATAATCCAGTGAGAGTTTTGTTTGCACAAAGAGTCTCTCATCATCATCCAGTCTGTCTGGAATGACATGAAGAAACAGAACAGAGACAGACAGTTCTTCTGGATTGAGTCGGTCTCAGTTTGTTCTGTTTCTTCATGTCATTCCAGACAGACTGATGATGATGAGATCAGATCTCTGTGTAAAGCACTGGCTGTTGTCAGACTCCTTGTGCAAATAAAAATCTCACTGAATTATTACAATTAATGGCAAAATGAATGTTTGGAAATGTAAACTGATGTTTCCTACTGACACACTACAGCAGAAGATAGAAATAACTGACTTAAAACCATTTTTAAGCTGGTGAAAATACTAGTGTTCTAATAATTGTGTACACCACTGTATTAAACAAACATCGAAACTTCCAAGTGCTATTGTAGCTGTTGTAGTGTTTTTGAATATTTTGCAAATTTGAATATATATAGTACTCTACTCTCAGCTTTTAACTCTAAAAACAGAAATGTAAGAAACAGGAACTCATTTTTATTTATTGACTGTGAGCTGCAATCAAGTAAACCTTCCAGAAGATGGCATCAAAGACCAGTACATTTTTTTATTCTTACTTCCCATGTATTCATGCCCTTTGGCTGCACAATTTCCCTATCTTCTTAATAGGAAAGCCTTACTGAACTAATCACCTCAAATAAGATTACAGTGAACTTTCTTCCAGTGGCAGTCAGAAGAGGAACCTCCTCAACGAGTCTGGCTCCTTCTGCCAGATCTAAAAAAACAACAGTAGCTGATATTTACATATACATACATACATATATATATATATATATATATATATATATACACGTGCACACACACACACACACACACATATATATATATATATATTTTTTTTTTTACGCTATTTTGTTTTGACCATTAAGACTTTTTTTGTATTGTTGTGACATTAAGCATATTTTCATTCCAAATTCTTACATTTAAATTAAAATTAAGTTTTAAAATATTCACATTACGAATACAACCAAGCTAAAATAACAAAATAAAATCCCAAAAAGCAAACAAAACATTGTCTTTGATGAACACATAACCATCTGCTCCAAGGTCAAAAGTCCTTGTTTAGTACACTCGCAATAAAGCTCTTTGGCAGCTCACATTCTGAAACACCACCACAAAGGTATTCTGAGGTGATGTTGACGTTGAAAACAGCATCTAAAGCTCCTTAACAGCTAATCTGCTGAAGGAACTCTACACTGTATGCCAGAGCCACAAAGAAATGCTCACATGAACCTCTAAAGACATCTACTAAAACCTTAGACGTACAGTCTAGTGTTGAATGAACAATCAAATGCCAAAATGATTTCAAATACACTTTCTTCATTAAATTTATTACTACAAAAATATACATTATTTTACACACACATATTGAATTAAGTTTCTTTTTTAATTATTTTAAATAAAATGTTTTAAATATTAAAATTTCATAAAATAAAACAAAACATTCATAAAAGACTAAAAATCGTATTTTCCTCATGTCAGCATGTTTAGTTTCCACTACAAAGAAATGAAACGGTAAGACCGCTTAAGAAAGAGAATGTAAAGACATTAATTGTAAGGAAGTGCCGTTAGTTTGTAATGTATGGTTTCTGCTGTACCGTTGTAAACCATTTGCTCACCAGCATACTTTCACACCGCTTTACCACCTCCACGACAAAAAGTGTGACTTTTGGCGTGCTTTACAAGAAACGGCTGAAGCGAAAGCTTCTTCAACCATCCTCCTCCCTCCAAGCTCTTAAAAACAGGCTACACTGACAGGCCAAACAGTATTTAGCACACAAAACAGCTCACATTTCCACAGCAGTAGAGTCCATATTGTATTAAGCGAGCACGTTGTAGCTTGTCTCAGTTATCGTAACTTTATAAGATCTCAATGGGCGTTTTGAGAGCATGAGAGAGAGGCTTTTTTTAACTAGTTAGGCCACACTTCATCAGTGCTTTGCCCTCGGAGGATTTCCACGCCACCTGGACGGGAGCGAAAAAAGGCCGGTTCACTGCAGAAAGTCTTAGGTGTCCTTTTGCTCTCTGTCTTGGTCATCCTGGCAGCCCCACTGACCTCCACTTTTTCTGAACACATCCTGTTTTTCATGGACAGGAGCTGGATGTCCGAATGCACATTGGCCACTGTGTGACGTCGGACACCACCGGTCCTTTCCAAATAGGCTTCACCCTCGTGTTCGATTAGAGGTGCCAGGAAAGACTCGTGGCCAAAATGTGTCACCATAATCTCAGGTTGACTGAGGTGTGGAGTGGCAACCAACCTCAGGCCTTCCAGATGATCCTCTGTGGGGGAAGCGATTATGACGCTGGTTAGATTTAACGCTGACTACAACATGCATAAGTTAGACTAGGGTCAGTGACATATGAATATCTGTTGGCTTCACATGGGTTTGATAAACTTTTATATTATTTTTAAGAAACACATATTTATTGACTCTAAAAATGTCATGCGGCATAATCATCAATAAAATAACTTACTTTTCATTATTTATTAACCTGCTAGCGTTTCACCGTCCTCTGTGTGTTTTGTTCAATTCTACAGTAATGGGGGTTAAAAAGTTTTTAAATAAAATAATAAATAATAAAGTACACAGCAGTTTTACAAAATCATGAATTATCAATTCATAAACATCATTAGGTTTTTGGGGAGTTGCACCACATTACATTTAAAAAACATGAACTAACTTTACCTTCTCATAAAATGGTAAAATTATCTGATATTTTATTAAAGGGGTCATATGATGCGATTTCAATTTGTCCTTTCTCTTTCGAGTGTTACAAGCTCTTGGTGCATAAAGAAGATCTGTCCGATGAGCTTTGTAAAAATCAACGCGTTTCAGAAAGACGGGGCATAGAGGAGAAACAATAATGTACAGCATGTGAAAAATAATGTGTTTTTTTGAACCTTAAACCGCATAAACACATTTCATTATACCAAATACACTAAATAATGTTATTTTTTAGCTACATCATATGACCCCTTTAAACTTATTGATCTTCATGCTTTTTTTGCATTTTGGTTACACCATATGACTTTAGTTTTTTTACCACATGACTTAAATTTTTTATTATTATTAATAATAATATTTTTTCAAGGTACAAAGACATTTTTACAAATATTATGAATTATAAAGTTTATGGGGAGTTGCACCACATGACAATTTACAAAATTAACTAACTTTGCCATAAAATGGTCAAATTATCTAACATTTTAAATGACATCTTGTTCTTAAGACTTCTAACATTTTTTCTGCATGTTGGTTCCGCCATATGATTTTATTTTTTGCTATATGACTTATATTTTTTTTATTATTAATAATATATTTTCAAGATACAAAGGCATTTTTACAAATATTATAAATTATAACATGTATGGGGAGTTACACCACATGACATTTTACAACATTAACTTTGCCATAAAATGGTCAAATTATAGTTGTAAATATAGTTGCAAATATATTATTCAAATATCATGAATTATTAATTAATAC